CAGCCCCGGAGGGTCCCCAGAGGACCCCTGAGGATCCCAGAGGATCCCCAGAGGTCCCCGAAGGATCCCATCCCCCTCAGTCCCGGAGCATCCCGTGCGCATCCTGTGAGGATCCCCGGAGGATCCCGTGAGGATCCCATCCATCTCAGCCCTGGAGCATCCCTTGAGCATCCTGTGAGGATCCCATGAGGATCCTGTGAGGATCCCATCCATCTCAGCCCCTGAGCATCCCGTGAGGATCCCCTGAGGATCCCCGGAGGATCCCAGAGGTCCCCGAAGGATCCCATCCCCCTCAGTCCTGGAGCATCCTGTGAGCATCCCGTGAGCATCCCGTGAGGATCCCATCCATCTCAGCCCCGGAGCATCCCTTGAGCATCCTGTGAGGATCCTGTGAGGATCCCCTGAGGATCCCCGGAGGATCCCACCCCCTCAGTCCTGGAGCATCCCGTGAGGATCCCATCCATCTCAGCCCCGGAGCATCCCTTGAGCATCCTGTGAGGATCCCCGGAGGATCCTGTGAGGATCCCCTGAGGATCCCGTGAGGATCCCGTGAGGATCCCATCCATCTCAGCCCCGGAGCATCCCTTGAGCATCCTGTGAGGATCCCCGGAGGATCCTGTGAGGATCCCCTGAGGATCCCGTGAGGATCCCGTGAGGATCCCATCCATCTCAGCCCCGGAGCATCCCTTGAGCATCCTGTGAGGATCCTGTGAGGATCCCGTGAGGATCCCCTGAGGATCCCCGGAGGATCCCGTGAGGATCCCACCCCCTCAGTCCCGCATCTCCTCCTCGCTCAGCACCACGGCGCGCAGCCTCTCGCTGTGGAGCCTCTCGTTCCTCTCGGAGCGCAGCTCCCGGGGCTCCAGGCGCCGCAGCCGCTCCGGGAGGTGCCCGAACTCCTCCTCGTTGATGTCGCCGTCCCTCAGCGCCTCCTCCAGCAGCCACCAGCGCCCCCAAAACCCCACATCCAGCGGCGCCCCGAGCTGCCACAGCCGCGGCCGGAGGTGCGGGCACCGCGCCGAGTACAGCGCGGGGTCCCCGCCGTGGGGGTCGGCCCCGGCCACGGCCACGACCCCCAGGTTGAGGACGCGGAGCCGGCCCCGCTCCCGCAGCTTCAGCAGCCTCAGGACGTGGCGTTCGGCTCGGGGGCTCCGCGAAGCCTCCGGGAGCTTCCCCAGCGCCGCCGCCGCCGCCACGGCCGCGCTCTCCAGCGAGTCCCGGTCCGGGACGGAGCTCGCCAGCCCGGCCCCCAGCCCCAGGGCCAGCAGAGCCGCCGCCGACAGCAGCGGGCGGCGCCGGGCACCGGCTGCGGCTTCGCGGAGAGAGCTGGAATAGTCCTGGAGAACGGCCCGGAACCAGCGGCCTGAGGGAGGGGAGAGGGGCGGTCAGGGGAGACCCCCGGGGAAAGGGGGGAGAGCACCGGGGAAAGCGGGAGAGACCCCCGGGAGGAGAGGGAATGACCCCCGGGGGAAGGGGGGAGACCCCCGGGAGGAGAGGGAATGACCCCCGGGGAAACGGGGAGAGACCCCCGGGAGGAGAGGGAATGACCCCCGGGGGAAGGGGGAGAGACCCCCGGGGAAAGGGGGAGAGACCCCCAGGGAAAGGGGGAGAGCACCGGGGAAAGGGGGAGACCCCCGGGAGGACGGGGGAGACCCCCAGGGAAAGGGGGAACCCCTGTGGGAAAGGGGGAGACCCTCGGGGAAAACGGGGGGGAGCACCCGGGAAAGGGGGAGAGACCCCCCGGGAGGAGGGGGGAGACCCCCAGGGAGACCCCCAGGAGGAGGGGGAGAGCAGCGGGGAGGAGGGGGAGAGACCCTCGGGAGGAGGGGGAGACCCCCGGGGGTGGGAGAGAGCACCGGGGGTGGGGGAGAGCCCTGGGGAAAGGGGGAGACCCCCGGGGAAAAGGGGAGACCCCCAGGGAAAGGGGAGACCCCCAGGAGGAGGGGGAGACCCCCGGGGGTGGGGAAGACCCCCGGGGAAAAGGGGGGAGGTGGGGGGGTCAGGGGAGACCCCCGGGAGGAGGGGGAGACCCCCGGGGAAAAGGGGGAGACCCCTGGGGGATGGGGGCACCCCCCCGGGTTATGGGGACCCCTCAGACCCCCCCCCATGGTTCGTGGAGACCCCCCAAACCCCTCTCAGGGTCAAGCGGCACCCCCTGACCCCCCTTTTGGTGGAAATTGGGGACCCCCCACGAAAACAGGAGGGTTTGGGGACCCCCAGACCCCCCCAGACCCCCCCAATCCCCTCAGACCCCCCCCAAGGCCCCGAATCGGAGCTCCCCGCACCCCACAAGGCCCCGCTCCTTCCCCCGAGCTCCCCGTGGCCCTGAGAGCCCCCGGACCCCCCCTCACCGAGCCGGCTGTCCCCCAGGCGCCCCCAGAGCCCGCGGCTCCCCCCCCCCCCCCCCCCCGCCCCCGCCACCACCCCAGACGGCG